GGGCAGGATCACCCTCACCCCCTGGTGATGTCATCATACCCTGTGATTGGCCAAAGCATTGCACCATTAAGTGGCGGTGACATTCTGAGGACAGCTTGCAGGTGTTCAACTTGATCACACCCAAAGCAGTGAGGCCCAGTCTTCTTGATGGGTATGTCAGGTCGAACCGTTGTGGGAAGGCAACTGTCTGCCTAGTAGATGGCTGTATATTGTATGAGCAGATGTTGGTGGCAGTCTGGAGAGTCTGCAAGCCACTGATCGTTGTTATCCCTGGGCATCCATATACTGCTTGGCTAGTTCCACTGCTTTGTCTACCATAAAGGGCTTTGGATCCCAATCCCACTCCTGCACCTCAATAGGGGATTGTTTATAAAACTGTTCCAGGAGGACCAGTTGGGCAGCATCCGCTAAATCAGTCACCTGACAGCCAGAGAACCATACATCCACTGATTGGGACATCTGATACGCTCCTTGACTCACTTGTAGTCTTTCTTGTTTCCTTCAAGCATGGCTTCGAAAGCATCCAGAGCCTGACATCTTGCTGATGAGGATGGTGACCCAGTCAGCTTTGTTGATTCCCTGGAGGCTGCATTGGGTCTTGAAGACTTGTAGCTATTGGTCCATTTCCTCCACTCCATCCTGGAAGGGTTGGAACACTGCATAGGGAAGTTTCTTGTGGCTACCCCAGTCTGTGGCTGCAGTGTCCCCCAATCGCCATTTGGACCTCAAGTATTTTTAGGTGGGTACTGTCTGCAATTATCTGGGTGATCGCCTCTTGGGGGGAGTGGTGCTGTAGAGCACCAGATACCACTGGATCTCTCGCTGGACCTCGGACATCCCAGGCTCTTCCATAATTGGCTTGCTGACTCGGTCACTCTCCACCAACTCGGCAATTAAGGTAGCCTTTAACTTGTTGCTGGTGCTCTGTCCCCTTGATTCCAGCAGATCCTTGAGTGTGCTTCGCATAAGTATGGAGTAATGAAGCTCCATCTGACAAGGTCTCTGTAGTGGTTTGGATGTTCCAGGCACAAAGAAGCATCCATATGCTGCCATCAAATGTGACAGACTATTGACACCCCGACTGGGTATCTCTGCCAAGATACCCAGAATGTACCAGACTGTTGATCTGGCCATTCCTAATGTTGGTGCTATCTCTCTGATGGATTTGTTTAGTTTTTGAAGCCTTACTACAATGGCCTATTTCACTTGCATGAACAGCTCCCTGGAACGCATGACGTAGGTTAACAGCAAGAGATTCCAAATGCAAATAACACACTTAGAATCAACTCCAGACCTTTTACCTGCTTAATTGATTAAAAAGTAATGAAGGAGTAGCCCACACCTGGCCATGAAACAGCTTTTGATTCAATCGTCCAATTACTTTTGGTCCCTTGAAAAAGAGGGGATGGCTACTCTTAAGAGCTGTAATTCCTAAACCCTTCCTCCAATTTGGATGTACATACCCTCACATCAAACCTGAGAGCGTGCATTTTCAGTCCATATCCATTATATAACTATAGCTTGATAATGTGTTGGTAAATACTTGAAAAATCGAAAATTGTGCCCTTGTCCAATTATATATGGAAATAACTGTATGGTGTAGATTCACACAGGCCCCTGCCCTCAAGGAGTTTACAATCTAAGGTCCCTAACTCACATTTATACATACACATACTAGGGCCAATTTAGACAGGAGCCAATTAATCTAGCAGGTTGTCTTTGGAATGTGGGAGGAAACCCAGGCAGGCACAGGGAGTACATGCAAACTCCATGTGCCGTAGTTGAGATTCGAACTGATGACCCTAGTGCTGCTAGATGGAAATGCTAACCACTAAACTAAGAAAAACATTAGGCTATACATACACTTTAAGGCCCAGCTGACACTAGTGCAATTTCTCCTACATATGCCCTGCAATGCACAACAATGAAAGCCCCATTATTTTTTATGGTGCCCATCCACATCAATGCAACATAGTGTAAAAGTTTCAGGTGTTTCTTTTTTGGGAATACGCAAAAGTGAAGCACATAATCTTTAAAGTGAAGACAAAAAAAAAAAGAAACAGTCTTGGCAATTAAGTGTGTCCCCAAATCTGCAGCTATCTAGCTCAATCAAGGCCCAAAGACATTGCTGTGCAATGGCAACCAACAATAATGATTAGCATATGCTAGTGTTTCCTATAAGAGACTTGGTGATCAAAGAGATGAAGTAAAGTCATCTGCATGCAGTGTCCATGAAGGAGTGTACTCAGTGTGGGCTTCCGCCCGCTCACCAATCCTAAAGATACCTAAGCTTAAGGGATGGAGATGTCCTGGGACAGGCTCTTGAAGGATCCAGGCCCAGTGATAAGCATTTGATCCATGCACCTGGTGATGCTGGACTTCAACTCGGCCTATTAGGTGACGATGTGAGTGATCTTGGACAATTACTTGATTGGCAAGGTGCTGGAAACAGACGATCTGCCTATAGGTATATAGTTCAACCTTTAGCAGTTTCTTTTGCTGTGAATGCCACAAGGTCTGCTATCAGTCAGGTCCATAAATATTGGGATATCGACAAAATTCTAACATTTTTGGCTATATACACCACCACAATGGATTTGAAATGAAACAAACAAGATGAACTTTAACTGCAGACTGTCGGCTTTAATTTGAGGGTATTTACATCCAAATCAGGTGAATGGTGTAGGAATTACAACAGTTTGCATACGTGCCTCCTACTTGTTAAGGGACCAAAAGTAATGGGACAATTGGCTTCTCAGCTGTTCCATGGCCAGGTGTGTGTTATTCCCTCATTATTCCAATTACAATGAGCAGATAAAAGGTCCAGAGTTCATTTCAAGTGTGCTATTTGCATTTGGAATCTGTTGCTGTCAACTCTCAAGATGAGATCCAAAGCGCTGTCACTATCAGTGAACCAAGCCATCATTAGGCTGAAAAAAACAAAACAAACCCATCAGAGAGATAGCAAAAACATTAGGCGTGGCCAAAACAACTGTTTGGAACATTCTTAAAAAGAAGGAACGCACCGGTGAGCTCAGCAACACCAAAAGACCCGGAAGACCACGGAAAACAACTGTGGTGGATGACCGAAGAATTCTTTCCCTGGTGAAGAAAACACCCTTCACAACAGTTGGCCAGATCAAGAACACTCTCCAGGAGGTAGGTGTATGTGTGTCAAAGTCAACAATCAAGAGAAGACTTCACCAGAGTGAATACAGAGGGTTCACCACAAGATGTAAACCATTGGTGAGCCTCAAAAACAGGAAGGCCAGATTAGAGTTTGCCAAATGACATCTAAAAAAGCCTTCACAGTTCTGGAACAACATCCTATGGACAGATGAGACCAAGATCAACTTGTACCAGAGTGATGGGAAGAGAAGAGTATGGAGAAGGAAAGGAACTGCTCATGATCCTAAGCATACCACCTCATCAGTGAAGCCTGGTGGTGGTAGTGTCATGGCGTGGGCATGTATGGCTGCCAATGGAACTGGTCCTCTTGTATTTATTGATGTTGTGACTGCTGACAAAAGCAGCCGGATGAATTCTGAAGTGTTTCGGGCAATATTATCTGCTCATATTCAGCCAAATGCTTCAGAACTCATTGGACGCCGCTTCACAGTGCAGATGGACAATGACCCAAAGCATACTGCAAAAGCAACCAAAGAGTTTTTTAAGGGAAAGAAGTGGAATGTTATGCAATGGCCAAGTCAATCACCTGACCTGAATCTGATTGAGCATGCATTTCACTTGCTGAAGACAAAACTGAAGGGAAAATGCCCCAAGAACAAGCAGGAACTGAAGACAGTTGCAGTAGAGACCTGGCAGAGCATCACCAGGGATGAAACCCAGCGTCTAGTGATGTCTATGCGTTCCAGACGTCAGGCTGTAATTGACTGCAAAGGATTTGCAACCAAGTATTAAAAAGTGAAAGTTTGATTTATGATTATTATTCTGTCCTATTACTTTTGGTCCCTTAACAAGTGGGAGGCACATATGCAAACTGTTGTAATTCCTACACCGTTCACCTGATTTGGATGTAAATACCCTCAAATTAAAGCTGACAGTCTGCAGTTAAAGCACATCTTGTTCGTTTCATTTCAAATCCATTGTGGTGGTGCATAGAGCCAAAAATGTTAGAATTGTGTCGATGTCCCAATATTTATGGACCTGACTGTACTTCTGATAGGCTGGGGCCCCTGCTTTCAACCTCTGGCGGCGGTCCCAAGAGAGCAAGCTTCCCCTTCTTCTATCACCACATCCAGGGCACAAGGTTACAGTTACTAAGCTGGACACTAGACAGAAACAAGCCCAAGACAGTCCTTGTCAACAATGTTCCTCAGTTGTGCAGGTGTACTAGCCAGCACTTTGCTACATCTGTTAGATCAATCATCTGCAGTCACTGATCAGTGTATGCTGACAGCAGAAAGTCTTGTAAAATGTCTAAGCAGGGAAGATTCATAACTGTGGTATTTGTGGCTGGATGAATGCAAAATGCGCCAAGCCATGATCACTGCAGGTAATCACTGACTGGAGAGACAGTCATGAATAGCTTCCATCAGCCTGTCATTGTTTTGAAAGGGGAAGAAAAAAAATGAAACAGGGGAAGGGAAATTTCTCATTAGGAAAAATCGATAATAAATCAGTAGTATTACATGGAAAATGAAAAACAAGTTACAGGGTTGTTCAGTAAAGATGTGCAGCAGCCTGCAACAAACAATCAGACTTAATTCCTAAAGCTGGCATAGATGGAGAGAATTTCAAAACATTTGAATGTTGTTTGAAAGATTCCATTTGCTTTTAACATTTAAGTTTCGAATGAATGGACTTTACCAAACAAAAACCACACACACACTAATTCCAAGTACACAAATTGGACATAAAATGCTGCTTTCAGAGTGATCTTCCAATAGTCAGATCGTTCGTACACAGCTTTCGAGAGCCGATCACCACAGTTCATACAAAATTATCTGAAAGGACAAGTGCAGGGGCGGACTGACAACTCATGGGGCCCCCGGGCAATAGGGGATCATGGGCCCCTGTGTCCTTGCCCAAACTCAAAAAAGCCTATGAAAAAGGTACCAGGGGCATCTCATGGGGCCCCCTACTGACCCCGGGCCCTCGGGCAGTGCCCGAGTTTCCAAATGGTCAGTCTGCCCCTGGACAAGTGTGAAACTTTTTCTCATACGATAACAGAGCAAACAATTTTTGTTTATTCAGTACAATATTTGTTCGTAAAACACTGAGTGACCAAGACCGCCCATGCTCTGAAATGAAAGAATACATTACAATACAATAGAATACATTACATCATCATGGGAGTTGTATTCTGTATTCTGAGAATTTTTGTAACTTTAGTAACCTATTTGTTTTCAATATGAGGCTAGCATGCAAAAAAAAACCCCAAAAACAATCATTTGTCCAATATTCTCATTGTGTGTATGATGCTTTAGAAATTCATATATAAAACCTTAAAAATATTATGGGACTTTGCTGGTACCAGAAAAGGCCCATAATATTTTTAAAGTTTTTATATAGTTGCTAATTAGGGATGATGTACAACGCAGTCTATAATATAATATTTAGAGATGAGCGAAGTATTCAAAAATTCGATTCGACTGATTCGGCGAATTCGTGGAAAAATTTTGATTCGAGTCGAATATATTCGCTGCGAATTTAACTTATAAAAGGGTGTTTCTAGGCTTCAGAGAGACTTTATATTAGTGCAGAACACTGTACCTTTAATTTAAATGCCCTTGGAGTCTGCTGGGGAAGAGAAATAATACTGACAGTCAGTATGACATGCAGATGAGTGCCGTCGATCTTAGAATCACCGCACACTTCACTCATTTGGGCAGTCACGGGGCCAAAACCAGAGTGTGGAGCCACAGTGTGGCGGTGGAGGCAGCAGCAATGGGAGGCCATACAGCACCCTATGACAAAAATGGAAACCACCAGCAGTGTGAGGAGACCTGAAAGTGGCACATGGCAGAGTGTGGCGATGGAGACAGCAGCAATGGGAGGCCGTACAGGGACCCATGACACACTCTGGACCTGGCAGCAGCATGAGGAGGCGGTACAGGGGCCCATGACAGATTACGGGCCTGGCAGCAGCATGAGGAGTTGGTACGGGGGCCCATGGCAGATTACGGGCCTGGCAGCAGCAATGGGAGGCCGTACAGGGACCCATGACACACTCTGGACCTGGCAGCAGCATGGGGAGGCGGTACAGGGGCGCATGACAGATTACGAGCCTGGCAGCAGCAACTTGGACAGGAGGACGTTCAGCTTCTGCACCGTCGGGTGCGTGCTCGCAAACTGTTGTCTCTTGGAAACGGATTCCAAGAAAGACTGCTGACGGAATCCGTGAAGAGGAGTAGCAGGAGACGGAGCATCTGAACGAGCGGAATATGCCAACAAGCGACAACAGGGGCCCATGACAGATTACGGGCCTGGCAGCAGCATGAGGAGTCAGTACGGGGGCCCATGGCAGATTAGGGGCCTGGCAGCAGCTATGGGAGGCCCGTAATCTGCCAGCACCCTATGACAAAAAATGGAACCCACCAGCAGTGTGAGGAGACCTGAAAGTGGCACATGGCAGAGTGTGGCGATGGAGACAGCAGCAATGGGAGGCCGTACAGGGACCCATGAGAGACTCTGGACCTGGCAGCAGCATGAGGAGGCGGTATAGGGGCCCATGGCAGATTATGGGCCTGGCAGCAGCTATGGGAGGCCCGTAATTGCCAGCACCCTATGACAAAAAATGGAACCCACCAGCAGTGTGAGGAGACCTGAAAGTGGCACATGGCAGAGTGTGGCGATGGAGACAGCAGCAATGGGAGGCCGTACAGGGACCCATGAGAGACTCTGGACTTGGCAGCAGCATGAGGAGGCGGTATAGGGGGCCCATGGCAGATTAGGGGCCTGGCAGCAGCTATGGGAGGCCCGTAATCTGCCAGCACCCTATGACAAAAAATGGAACACACCAGCAGTGTGAGGAGACCTGAAAGTGGCACATGTTTGGGGCATGATTCATGGCGGATTTAGTCAGTTGTGTCAGGAACTGGTGGTTTGAAATCCAGACTAATCCACGCCTGATTCATTTTCACAAACGTGAGTCTCTCCACACTTTGGGTGGACAGTCGTGTCCTCCGCGGAGTTACAATACCTCCTGCCGCACTAAACACGCGCTCCGATGCCACGCTACTGGCCGGGCATGACAGCCTTTCAAGGGCAAATTCAGCTAGTTGGGGCCAAAGGTCAAGTTTCGTTGCCCAGTAGTCAAGGGGATTGTCTACCTCGGTTGGCAGGGTGCTGTCCAAGTAGGCCTAAGCCTGTTGTTTGAGGTCCTGCTCCAGGTCCACCTGATGCTGCTGCTGCTGCGGCTGGTTAGTAGTTTCCTCACTGCGCTGGTGAAGAAAGCTACTCATCATCGAATGCAGACTGAGGCAGCTGCTGCTGGTGGAGCTGCCACTGCTCCTATCCACCCCCACCCCTCCCCTGCTGCCATGGCAGCGGAACGCGAGCGCACAGGGCCCACAGTGTCTGAGGATGGACGTTGGCGCAGACAGGCAGAGACCAGCTGACTACATAGGTGGTTTTTATAGTACGTTATTTTGGCCTCCCTCTCAGCAGGTGTGAAAAAAGGCCACCATTTTTGAACGGTAGCGAGGGTCCAACAAGGTGGACAGCCAAAAGTCATCCCCTCTGTCTGATGGTTATTATTCGGCTGTCGGTACGCAAGCAAGCGAGCATGCTATGGGCCAATTTGTGCCAAGGAATGCGAGGGACTCCCTGCCTCCATCTCCACAGCATACTGCCACGGTGCGTCTGGGTCCTCTGTCTCCTCTTCCTCCTCCTCTACCAGATGCTCCTGCTCCTCCACTCCTGTCCGCTGAGTGGAAAAACCACCCATTTCACTCAATAATTCCTGAGCACCAATGTCCTCCTCTACCTCCTCCTCTTCTTCCTGTCCTGCCCCCACAGGGGTCATGTGGCGTTGAGATCTGTGCGCCACGTCTACCGCACCCTGACCAGCCATTGTTAACAGCATTTGTTCCAGGACGTGCAACAGAGGAATGACGTCGTTCATCCCATAGTCATAGTCCTGCCGACTCACGAATAGCGTGGCCTCCTCAAAGGGCCTGAGCAAGCGCAGGTGTCACGCATGAGCTGCCAATGGCTGACATCTAAGTTACACAGGGAGTACCTTTATCCGCTTTTAACATCAGGAAATCTGTGATGGCCTTTTGCTGTTCGTAAAGGCGGTCTAACATATGTAGGGTTGAATTCCACCTTTGTTGCAACGTCACAGCATGAGGAGTCGGTACGGGGGCACATGGCAGATTACGGGCCTGGCAGCAGCAATGGGAGGCCCGTAATCTGCCAGCACCCTATGTCAAAAAATTCAACACACAGCAGTGTGAGGAGACCTGAAAGTGGCACATGGCAGAGTGTCAGAGTGGATTGGCGATGGAGACAGCAGCAATGGGAGGCCGTACAGGGACCCATGAGAGACTCTGGACCTGGCAGCAGCATGAGGAGGCGGTACAGGGGCCCATGGCAGATTAGGGGCCTGGCAGCAGCTATGGGAGGCCCGTAATCTGCCAGCACCCTATGACAAAAAATGGAACACACCCAGCAGTGTGAGGAGAGACCTGAAAGTGGCACATGGCAGAGTGTGGCGATGGAGACAGCAGCAATGGGAGGCCGTACAGGGACCCATGAGAGACTCTGGACCTGGCAGCAGCATGAGGAGGCGGTATAGGGGCCCATGGCAGATTAGGGGCCTGGCAGCAGCTATGGGAGGCCCGTAATCTGCCAGCACCCTATGTCAAAAAATTCAACACACCAGCAGTGTGAGGAGACCTGAAAGTGGCACATGGCATGAGACACTGTGGACCTGGCAGCAGCATGAGGAGGCGGTACAGGGGCCCATGGCAGATTAGGGGCCTGGCAGCAGCTATGGGAGGCCCGTAATCTGCCAGCACCCTATGTCAAAAAATTCAACACACCAGCAGTGTGAGGAGACCTGAAAGTGGCACATGGCAGAGTGTGGCGATGGAGACAGCAGCAATGGGAGGCCGTACAGGGACCCATGACAGACTCTGGACTTGGCAGCAGCATGAGGAGGCGGTATAGGGGCCCATGGCAGATTAGGGGCCTGGCAGCAGCTATGGGAGGCCCGTAATCTGCCAGCACCCTATGTCAAAAAATTGAACACACCAGCAGTGTGAGGAGACCTGAAAGTGGCACATGGCATGAGACACTGTGGACCTGGCAGCAGCATGAGGAGGCGGTACAGGGGCCCATGGCAGATTAGGGGCCTGGCAGCAGCTATGGGAGGCCCGTAATCTGCCAGCACCCTATGTCAAAAAATTGAACACACCAGCAGTGTGTGAGGAGACCTGAAAGTGGCACATGGCAGAGTGTGGCGATGGAGACAGCAGCAATGGGAGGCCGTACAGGGACCCATGAGAGACTCTGGACCTGGCAGCAGCATGAGGAGGCGGTATAGGGGCCCATGGCAGATTAGGGGCCTGGCAGCAGCTATAGGAGGCCCGTAATCTGCCAGCACCCTATGTCAAAAAATTGAACACACCAGCAGTGTGAGGAGACCTGAAAGTGGCACATGGCATGAGACACTGTGGACCTGGCAGCAGCATGAGGAGGCGGTAACAGGGGCCCATGGCAGATTAGGGGCCTGGCAGCAGCTATGGGAGGCCCGTAATCTGCCAGCACCCTATGTCAAAAAATTGGAACACACCAGCAGTGTGAGGAGACCTGAAAGTGGCACATGGCAGAGTGTGGCGATGGAGACAGCAGCAATGGGAGGCCGTACAGGGACCCATGACAGACTCTGGACTTGGCAGCAGCATGAGGAGGCGGTATAGGGGCCCATGGCAGATTAGGGGCCTGGCAGCAGCTATGGGAGGCCCGTAATCTGCCAGCACCCTATGTCAAAAAATTCAACACACCAGCAGTGTGAGGAGACCTGAAAGTGGCACATGGCAGAGTGTGGCATGGAGACAGCAGCAATGGGAGGCCGTACAGGACCCATGGAGACTCTGGACCTGGCAGCAGCATGAGGAGGCGGTATAGGGGCCCATGGCAGATTAGGGGCCTGGCAGCAGCTATGGGAGGAGGCCCGTAATCTGCCAGCACCCTATGTCAAAAAATGGAACACACCAGCAGTGTGAGGAGACCTGAAAGTGGCACATGGCAGAGTGTGGCGATGGAGACAGCAGCAATGGGAGGCCGTACAGGGACCCATGAGAGACTCTGGACCTGGCAGCAGCATGAGGAGGCGGTATAGGGGCCCATGGCAGATTAGGGGCCTGGCAGCAGCTATGGGAGGCCCGTAATCTGCCAGCACCCTATGTCAAAAAATTGAAACACACCAGCAGTGTGTGAGGAGACCTGAAAGTGGCACATGGCAGAGTGTGGCGATGGAGACAGCAGCAATGGGAGGCCGTACAGGGACCCATGAGAGACTCTGGACCTGGCAGCAGCATGAGGAGGCGGTATAGGGGCCCATGGCAGATTAGGGGCCTGGCAGCAGCTATAGGAGGCCCGTAATCTGCCAGCACCCTATGTCAAAAAATTGAACACACCAGCAGTGTGAGGGAGACCTGAAAGTGGCACATGGCATGTGGCGATGGAGACAGCAGTGGACCTGGACTGCAGCAGCAGATGGGAGGCGGTACAGGGGCCCATGGCAGATTAGGGGCCTGGCAGCAGCTATGGGAGGCCCGTAATCTGCCAGCACCCATGTCAAAAAATTCAACACACCAGCAGTGTGAGGAGACCTGAAAGTGGCACATGGCAGAGTGTGGCGATGGAGACAGCAGCAATGGGAGGCCGTACAGGGACCCATGACAGACTCTGGACCTGGCAGCAGCATGAGGAGGCGGTATAGGGGCCCATGGCAGATTAGGGCCTGGCAGCAGCTATGGGAGGCCCGTAATCTGCCAGCACCCTATGTCAAAAAACAACACACCAGCAGTGTGAGGAGACCTGAAAGTGTGGCACATGGCATGAGACACTGTGGACCCTGGCAGCAGCATGAGGAGGCGGTACAGGGGCCCATGGCAGATTAGGGGCCTGGCAGCAGCTATGGGAGGCCCGTAATCTGCCAGCACCCTATGTCAAAAAATTGAACACACCAGCAGTGTGTGAGGAGACCTGAAAGTGGCACATGGCAGAGTGTGGCGATGGAGACAGCAGCAATGGGAGGCCGTACAGGGACCCATGAGAGACTCTGGACCTGGCAGCAGCATGAGGAGGCGGTATAGGGGCCCATGGCAGATTAGGGGCCTGGCAGCAGCTATAGGAGGCCCGTAATCTGCCAGCACCCTATGTCAAAAAATTCAACACACCAGCAGTGTGAGGACCTGAAAGTGGCCATGGCAAGTGTGGCGATGGAGACAGCAGCATGGGAGAGTACAGGGACCCATGAGACTCTGGACCTGGCAGCAGCATGAGGAGGCGGTATAGGGGCCCATGGCAGATTAGGGGCCTGGCAGCAGCTATGGGAGGCCCGTAATCTGCCAGCACCCTATGTCAAAAAATTGAACACACCAGCAGTGTGAGGAGACCTGAAAGTGGCACATGGCAGAGTGTGGCGATGGAGACAGCAGCAATGGGAGGCCGTACAGGGACCCATGAGAGACTCTGGGACCTGGCAGCAGCATGAGGAGGCGGTATAGGGGCCCATGGCAGATTAGGGGCCTGGCAGCAGCTATGGAGGCCCGTAATCTGCCAGCACCCTATGTCAAAAAATTGAACACACCAGCAGTGTGTGAGGAGACCTGAAAGTGGCACATGGCAGAGTGTGGCGATGGAGACAGCAGCAATGGGAGGCCGTACAGGGACCCATGAGAGACTCTGGACCTGGCAGCAGCATGAGGAGGCGGTATAGGGGCCCATGGCAGATTAGGGGCCTGGCAGCAGCTATGGGAGGCCCGTAATCTGCCAGCACCCTATGTCAAAAAATTGGAACACACCAGCAGTGTGAGGAGACCTGAAAGTGGCACATGGCAGAGTGTGCATGGAGACAGCAGCAATGGGAGGCCGTACAGGGACCCATGAGAGACTCTGGACCTGGCAGCATGAGGAGGCGGTACAGGGGCCCATGGCAGATTAGGGGCCTGGCAGCAGCTATGGGGCCCGTAATCTGCCAGCACCCTATGACAAAAAAATGGAACACACCAGCAGTGTGAGGAGACCTGAAAGTGGCACATGGCAGGGGGCATGATTCATGGCGGATTTAGTCAGTTGTGTCAGGAACTGGTGGTTTGAAATCCAGACTAATCCACGCCTGATTCATTTTCACAAACGTGAGTCTCTCCACACTTTGGGTGGACAGTCGTGTCCTCCGCGGAGTTACAATACCTCCTGCCGCACTAAACACGCGCTCCGATGCCACGCTACTGGCCGGGCATGACAGCCTTTCAAGGGCAAATTCAGCTAGTTGGGGCCAAAGGTCAAGTTTCGTTGCCCAGTAGTCAAGGGGATTGTCTACCTCGGTTGGCAGGGTGCTGTCCAAGTAGGCCCAAGCCTGTTGTTTGAGGTCCTGCTCCAGGTCCACCTGATGCTGCTGCTGCTGCGGCTGGTTAGTAGTTTCCTCACTGCGCTGGTGAAGAAAGCTACTCATCATCGACTGCAGACTGAGGCAGCCGCTGCTGGTGGAGCTACCACTGCTCCTACCACCCCACCCCTCCCCTGCTGCCATGGCAGCGGAACGCGAGCGCACAGGGCCCACAGTGTCTGAGGATGGACGTTGGCGCACAAAGGCAGAGACCAACTGACTACATAGGTGGTTTTTATAGTACGTTATTTTGGCCTCCCTCTCAGCAGGTGTGAAAAAGGCCACCATTTTTGAACGGTAGCGAGGGTCCAACAAGGTGGACAGCCAAAAGTCATCCCTCTGTCTGATGGTTATTATTCGGCTGTCGCTACGCAAGCAACCGAGCATGCTATGGGCCATTTGTGCCAAGGAATGCGAGGGACTCCCTGCCTCCATCTCCACAGCATACTGCCACGGTGCGTCTGGGTCCTCTGTCTCCTCCTCCTCCTCCTCTACCACATGCTCCTGCTCCTCCACTCCTGTCCGCTGAGTGGAAAAACCACCCATTTCACTCAATAATTCCTGAGCACAAATGTCCTCCTCTACCTCCTCCTCTTCTTCCTGTCCTGCCCCCACAGGGGTCATGTGGCGTTGAGACTGTGCGCCACGTCTACCGCACCCTGACCAGCCATTGTTAACAGCATTTGTTCCAGGACGTGCAACAGAGGAATGACGTCGTTCATCCCATAGTCCTGCCGACTCACGAATAGCGTGGCCTCCTCAAAGGGCCTGAGCAAGCGGCAGGTGTCACGCATGAGCTGCCAATGGCTGACATCGAAGTTACACAGGGGAGTACCTTTATCCGCTTGTAACATCAGGAAATCGGTGATGGCCTTTCGCTGTTCGTAAAGGCGGTCTAACATGTGTAGGGTTGAATTCCACCTTGTTGCAACGTCGCAGATCAGGCGATGCTGTGGAATTCCGTTCTGCCGCTGCAGCTCAAGGAGGGTGTGCTTTGCGGTGTAGGAATGGCTGAAATGCATGCAAAGTTTACGTGACATTTTAAGGATGTCTTGCAGTGGGATGGTGGATTTTAGGAACCGCTTGACAACCAGATTGAACACGTGAGCCATGCATGGCGCATGGCACAACCTTCCTTGACGCAGAGCAGACACCATGTTCTTTCCGTTGTCGGTCAACATGGTTCCGATTTTCAGTTTGCGCGGAGACAGCCATCTGTCGATTTCTCTGTTCATTACACTGAGAAGTTCCTCCCCTGTGTGACTACGTTCGCCAAGGCATACCAGGTGCAGCACAGCGTGACACCGTTGCGCCCTGCACATGTGATATGCCGGTCGGGTAATGGGACTTGGCACGGGGGGGGCTGAGAGGACACGAAGGAAGAAGAAGAGTGGTAGAGGCGGACATGTTTTGTGGACCAAGGACGTGCAAACGTGGAGGCAAAAGCGGCGTGACCTGTCCAAGTTGCTGGTGCGGCTGTGACGGCACCACGTTCACCCAGTGGGCCGTAAATGACATGTACTGTCCCTGACCGTAGTTACAGCTCCACACGTCGGCGCTGCCGTGCACTTTGGCAGAGACCGACATGCTCAAAGACTGGCCCACCATCTCTTCTACATGTGAATGCAGGGCTGGCACTGCCTTTTTGGCGAAGAAATGACGGCTTGGCACTCTCCACCGCGGCGGCGGCACAAGCCATCATTTTTCTCGGAAAGGTGCTGAGTCCACCACTTGGAAAGGGAGGGACTGCAGCACCAGCAACTTGGACAGGAGGACGTTCAGCTTTTGCACCGTCGGGTGCGTGCTCGCAAACTGTTGTCTCTTGGAAACGGATTCCAAGAAAGACTGCTGACGGAATCCGTGAAGAGGAGTAGTAGCAGGAGAAGGAGCATCTGAACGAGCGGAAGATGGCAACGAGCGACAACTCCCCTCAGCAGAGGTGTTGGGAGCCTTGACTGGCTGATAGAGGGCGATTGACGTCGGGTGACGGAGCAAGTAACGGAGCGGGTGATGGAGCGGGGGCTGGGGCGGGCAGAACCGCCGTATCTTTATCACGGTTTTCCCAGGCCACCAAATGGCGACGCTGCATATGCTGCCGCAACGCTGTAGTCCCCAACATGGGCCCCCTGGCCACGCTTGACTTTCTGGCCACATAGTCGACATACGGCTACGTTTACTTCCTCGGGCGGCTTGACAAAAAATTGCCACACCGCCGAGTAGGAAACTTTGCCCCCGATACTCCTCACTGGCTGACTGCTGCTTCCTCCGTGCACACCCGGCACCACTACTGGCCGTGGTGGTAGGCTGCAGTGGAGCTGGTGGTGCTGTACTCCGTGGCCGTTTGCCTCCACTGACACTGCTGCGACCCTGCTGCCTCCTGGGCAACCCACCGACTGTTTTGCTCGCTGCCAAGCTGCCACCCTCTTCTCCTGATGATGCGGAAGCAATAGCCTGATGACGACGAGGCTGCCAAGTGCGATCAGCCTCATCATCATCAATTAGGGTCTCCGCCTCACTACTAGCCCCCTCGGCTGCGTGTGGGTCAGGAGACAGACCTGTCTCTAGACCGGCTACCGAGCCACTCTCCTCTCTCCTCGCCACTACTTCTTCGCCTGGCTGCTGAAGAGGCGGATGTCTCCCCCCGTTCCTGACCGCCCTCTGTTTGCTCTTCCTCACTGTACAGTGGGGCTGAGCCCACAGCATGCGATACTTCGCTTGGTGAGGGAACACCAAAGGACAGGGGCAGGTAGAGGACACGTGATTTCAGTGGGCTTGGTCCCGGGCCATGCCAACTAACGGTTGTGTCTGACGTACCCACCGACCGTTGGCTGTAGGTGTCAGAGGTGACCTGGGAAGAGGAAGACGACCGAGCCAACCAATCAATGACGGCAGGGTTGTCGGTGGAGACACGACCGCTGGATGACACCGGGAGCACTGGCCTCTGGCTGCGAATAGTGCTGCCTCGACCCCTTCCTCTGCTGCCACGTCTGCTCGCTCCTAAAACATTGCCTCCTCTGCCACTCCTCTGCATGTTGTCTGACATACTCTTTAATTAAACGATTCTGTGTCCCTGAGTAACAATTCTGTGTCTGTCCCTGAGTAACAATTCTGTGTCCCTGAGTAACAATTTCTGTGCCCTGAGTAACAATTCTGTGTCCCTCAGTAACAATTCTGTGTCCCTCAGTAACAATTCTGTGTCCCTCAGTAACAATTCTGTGTCCCCTGAGTAACAATTCCCCTGAGTAACAATTCTGTGTCCCTCAGTAACAATTCTGTGTCCCTGAGTAACAATTCTGTGTCCCTGAGTAACAATTCTGTGTCCCTGTAACAATTCTGTGTCCCTGAGTAACAATTCTGTGTCCCTCAGTAACAATTCTGTGTCCCTGAGTAACAATTCTGTGTCCCTCCCTGAGTAACAATTCTGTGTCCCTAAGTAACAATTCTGTGTCCCTAAGTAACAATTCTGTGTCCCTCAGTAACAATTCTGTGTCCCTCAGTAACAATTCTGTGTCCCTCAGTAACAATTCTGTGTCAATTCTGTGTCCCTGAGTAACAATTCTGTGTCTGTCCCTGAGTAACAATTCTGTGTCCCTGAGTAACAATTCTGTGTCCCTGAGTAACAATTTCTGTGTCCCTGAGTAACAATTCTGTGTCCTGTGTCCCTCAGTAACAATTCTGTGTCCCTCAGTAACAATTCTGTCTGTGTCCCCTGAGTAACAATTCTGTGTCCCTGTAACAATTCTGTGTCCCTAACAATTCTGTGTCCCCTAAGTAACGTTTCTGTGGCCCTAAGTAACAATTCTGTGGCCCTCAGTAACAATTCTGTGTCCCTCAGTAACAATTCTGTGTCTGTCCCTGAGTAACAATTCTGTGTCCCCTAAGTAACGTTTCTGTGTCCCTAAGTAACGTTTCTGTGGCCCTAAGTAACGTTCTGTGGCCCTAAGTAACGATTCTGTGGCCCTAAGTAACGTTTCTGTGGCCCTAAGTAACAATTTCTGTGGCCCCTAAGTAACGTTTCTGTGGCCCTAAGTAACGTTTCTGTGGCCCTAAGTAACAGTTCTGTGGCCCTCAGTAACAATCTGTGGCCCTCAGTAACAATTCTGTGTCCCTCAGTAACAATTCTGTGGTCCCTGAGTAACAATTCTGTGTCCCTAAGTAACGTTTCTGTGGCCCTAAGTAACGGTTCTGTGGCCCTCAGTAACAATTCTGTGTCCCTCAGTAACAATTCTGTGTCTGTCCCTAAGTAACAATTCTGTGGCCCTAAGTAACGTTTCTGTGGCCCTAAGTAACGTTTCTGTGGCCCTCAGTAACAATTCTGTGTCCCTCAGTAACAATTCTGTGTCTGTCCCTGAGTAACAATTCTGTGTCCCTAAGTAACAATTCTGTGGCCCTAAGTAACAATTTCTGTGGCCCTAAGTAAATTCTGTTTCTGTGGCCCTAAGTAACGTTCTGTGGCCCTAAGTAACAATTCTGTGGCCCTAAGTAACGTTTCTGTGTCCCTCAGTAACAATTCTGTGTCCCTCAGTAACAATTCTGTGTCCCTAAGTAACAATTCTGTGTCCCTAAGTAACAATTCTGTGGCCCTAAGTAACGTTCTGTGTCCCTCAGTAACAATTCTGTGTCCCTCAGTAACAATTCTGTGTGTGTCCCTAAGTAACAATTCTGTGTCTGTCCCTAAGTAACAATTCTGTGTAACAATTCTGTGGCCCTAAGTAACAATTCTGTGGCCCTAAGTAACGTTTCTGTGGCCCTCAGTAACAATTCTGTGGCCCTCAGTAACAATTCTGTGTCCCTCAAGTAACAATTCTGTGTCCCCTAAGTAACAATTCTGTGGTCCCTAAGTAACAATTCTGTGGCCCTAAGTAACGTTTCTGTGGCCCTCAGTAACAATTCTGTGTCCCTCCCTAAGTAACAATTCTGTGTCTGTCCCTAAGTAACAATTCTGTGTCCCTAAGTAACAATTCTGTGGCCCTCAGTAACAATTCTGTAACAATTCTGTGTCCCTAGTAACAATTCTGTGTCCCTAAGTAACGTTTCTGTGGCCCTAAGTAACGTTCTGTGGCCCTAAGTAACGATTCTGTGGCCCTCAGTAACAATTCTGTGTCCCTCAGTAACAATTCTGTGTCTGTCCCTAAGTAACAATTCGTGGCCCTAAGTAACGTTTCTGTGGCCCTAAGTAACGATTCTGTGGCCCTCAGTAACAATTCTGTGTCCCTCAGTAACAATTCTGTGTCCCTAGTAACAATTCTGTGTCCCTAAGTAACAATTCTGTGGCCCTAAGTAACGTTCTGTGGCCCTAAGTGTGGCCCTAAGTAACGATTCTGTGGCCCTAAGTAACAATTCTGTGGCCCTAAGTAACAATTCTGTGGCCCTCAGTAACAATTCTGTGTCTGTCCCTAAGTAACAATTCTGTGTCCCTAAGTAACAATTCTGTGGCCCTAAGTAACGTTTCTGTGGCCCTAAGTAACGTTCTGTGTGGCCCTAAGTAACAATTCTGTGTCCCTCAGTAACAATTCTGTGTCTGTCCCTAAGTAACAATTCTGTGGCCCTAAGTAACGTTTCTGTGGCCCTAAGTAACGTTTCTGTGGCCCTCTAAGTAACAGTTTCAATTCTGTGTCTGTCCCTCAGTAACAATTCTGTGTCTGTCCCTAAGTAACAATTCTGTGTCCCTAAGTAACGTTTCTGTGTGGTCCCTAAGTAACGTTCTGTGGCCCTAAGTAACGTTTCTGTGGCCCTCAGTAACAATTCTGTGTCCCTCAGTAACAATTCTGTGTCCCCCTAAGTAACAATTCTGTGGCCCTAAGTAACAATTTCTGTGGCCCTAAGTAACGTTTCTGTGGCCCTAAGTAACAATTCTGTGGCCCTCAGTAACAATTCTGTCAGTAACAATCTGTGTCCCTAAGTAACAATTCTGTGGCCCTAAGTAACGTTTCTGTGGCCCTAAGTAACGTTTCTGTGGCCCTCAGTAACAATTCTGTGGCCCTCAGTAACAATTCTGTGTGTCCTAAGTAACAATTCTGTGTCCCTAAGTAACCTGTGTAACAATTCTGTGGCCCTAAGTAACGTAACAATTCTGTGTCCCTAAGTAACGTTTCTGTGGCCCTAAGTAACGTTTTCTGTGGCCCTAAGTAACAATTCTGTGTCCCTCAGTAACAATTCTGTGTCTGTCCCTAAGTAACAATTCTGTGGCCCTAAGTAACGTTTCTGTGGCCCTAAGTAACGTTTCTGTGGCCCTCAGTAACAATTCTGTGTCCCTCAATAACAATTCTGTGTCTGTCCCTAAGTAACAATTCTGTGGCCCTAAGTAACGATTCTGTGGCCCTAAGTAACAATTCTGTGGCCCTCAGTAACAATTCTGTGTCTGTCCCTAAGTAACAATTCTGTGGCCCTAAGTAACGTTTCTGTGGCCCTAAGTAACGATTCTGTGGCCCTCAGTAACAATTCTGTGTCCCTCAAGTAACAATTCTGTCTGTCCCTAAGTAACAATTCTGTGGCCCTAAGTAACAATTCTTGTCTGTGGCCCTAAGTAACGATTCTGTGGCCCTCAGTAACAATTCTGTGTCCCTCAGTAACAATTCTGTGTCTGTCCCTAAGTAACAATTTCTGTGGCCCTAAGTAACGTTTTCTGTGGCCCTAAGTAACGATTCTGTGGCCCTCAGTAACAATTCTGTGTCTGTCCCTAAGTAAGTAACAATTCTGTGGCCCTAAGTAACGTTTCTGTGGTGGCCCTAAGTAACGATTCTGTGGCCCTCAGTAACAATTCTGTGTCCCTCAAGTAACAATTCTGTGTCTGTCCCTAAGTAACAATTCTGTGGCCCTAAGTAACGATTCTGTGGCCCTCAGTAACAATTCTGTGTCCCTCAGTAACAATTCTGTGTCTGTCCCTAAGTAACAATTCTGTGGCCCTAAGTAACGTTTCTGTGGCCCTAAGTAACGATTCTGTGGCCCTCAGTAACAATTCTGTGTGGCCCTCAGTAACAATTCTGTGTCCCCCTAAGTAACAATTCTGTGGCCCTAAGTAACGAATTCTGTGGCCCTCAGTAACAATTCTGTGTCCCTCAGTAACAATTCTGTGTCTGTCCCTAAGTAACAATTCTGTGGCCCTAAGTAACGTTTCTGTGGCCCTAAGTAACAAATTCTGTGGCCCTCAGTAACAATTCTGTGTCTGTCCCTAAGTAACAATTCTGTGTCTGTCCCTAAGTAACAATTCTGTGGCCCTAAGTAACGTTTCTGTGGCCCTAAGTAACGATTCTGTGGCCCTCAGTAACAAATCTGTGTCCCTCAGTAACAATTCTGTGTCTGTCCCTAAGTAACAATTCTGTGGCCCTAAGTAACGTTTCTGTGGCCCTAAGTAACGATTCTGTGGCCCTCAGTAACAATTCTGTATCCCTCAGTAACAATTCTGTCTGTCCCTGAGTAACAATTCTGTGTCCCTAAGTAACGTTTCTGTGGCCCTAACTAACGATTCTGTGGCCCTAAGTAAACGTTTCTGTGGCCCTATGTAACGTTTCTATGGCCCTAAGTAACGATTCTGTGGCCCCCTAACTAACGTTTCTGTGTCCCTAAGTAACGTTTCTCTGTCCCTAACTCTCTCCCTGCATACAGCCAGGTCTGCCTCTGTTGAATGACTGGAGGCAAATGGAGAATTCTAAAATGGCCGCCATTTATAGCTCGACCATTACACTGTGCTGGCTGGCCTGCTGATTGGCTAATGCGATCACATGTCATGAATGAATGCATTATGGGTCAGCGCGCCTTGTCTGCGCGCCTTCCCAGACGCATTGAACCAGCGTTCAGCAGATTGCTGGTGCCATGCAGGTCTCCTGCAGATCTATCAGTGTATCTGCTTGCCTGAATGGGATGTACGGGAAAGCAAGTATTCTGACAGGGAGATTCAATGAACTACCACAGTGCTCACAGCGCCGTGGTAGTTCATTGAGAACTACAAGCCCACAGCCGCTAAGGCTCTCTGAACTTGTAGTTTCTCATTCATGGAACTCTGTGAATGAGTGACGTGGCTGGGTGGGCAGAGCCCCACAAGGACATGTTTTTAAAAAATTTTAACAGCTAGCGAGGGGGGCCAGTCATTTTCATAACATGTCATATGTTACACCCTGAATATCGGTGTAACATGTAACATGTTACGAAAGGTGAATGTCTCCTTTAACTGATCTGACCAAACTAAAATATAATCAAATTGGTTGCTTTGGGTTAGTCCATTATTGTACACCCTTATTGCTTCTTGGTGACCATATACTATATGATCTGATTGTATAATTTCTGTATAATCTTCTTTAGATTTACCAAACCTATTTAACAAGAGGACACATCTAATCTATCAGGTCATTCTTTATCTTTATCCAGTCTGGCAGGCCCCTGGACTACATAGTTGATGGCAGAGGGGATTGTACAATCAGATTGTATAGTGTATAGTGTATAGTGCGTTTTACAGCACTATAATGGGATTTCACAGTATACCTGCTTGCAAAACTGTTTATAAAGAAAAATGTGAATCTGAGTGGATTATTTCACTTTGTGAAAAATCACACGCTTAGCGTATAGGTAAGCAGAATCCCTAATCAGCAGGGAATAAAGATGCCCAGTACATCATAGGAAGCTCTCAGCTACAGATCTCCTGAAATCCTCAGTGTGCCCACCTTCACTGCAGACCCCTCACTGAGCCCCCCCTAACAGCAGCCCATCCACACACAGACACAGTGTACACATGCAAATAGCTGGAGAGGTGGAGTCCTACACTAAGCAGCCTTCCTCTGATTGGTAGGCGAAATACTAGAAAAATTATACCCCCTATAAAAATTTACATTGCCTGTAAAAAACACTAGTACCTAGGGATACCAGGGATCTAATGACAACGAAAAAGGAATCATGAAGGGCACCTGGTAAGAGCAAGAACTGAACTATTGTGGAGGAGGGAAATTCAACTGCTGACACGTTAGTGAATTGAACCTAGGACATCTTTAGCTGTCAGCACCTGCACTGGGAGCTATAGGACAAGCAGTGTGAATGGGACACTTCGACACTTGATTGCCATGCATTTATTACATAGGGCTCATCACTGTATACTACTAAATTTCATTTGTTTCAACAGGAAAGCACCACTTGCCTTGTACATGATCAGCTTCCTGGGACCCCTGGTATCTGCTACCATAGAACATTATACACGTAAGTGAATGAAGTGACTATCAAGTAAGCTGGCTACACACTATACAATCTGATTGTGCAATCTGCTTTAAGCTCACCACACACGTTACATTCTGATTGTACAATTTCCTTTAGATCTGCAGTGCAAGGGCTTGTCTGATTGAATACAAATTGATTGGATAGTTTACGTAGGTCCTCATATTACATCATTTTGGTAAATGTATATAGCTGAATGCACAAAGATGATACAGATTGTACAGGTTGTAACGTTTATGGTGAGCTTCACAGAGTAGCTCAATAACAATCCAATGGCATTAGCTCAGTCATCAAATTTGTGGACCATAGCAAAGCCAAATAATTATGGTTCTGTTGGCAGTTTTAAAGCCCATCTCCAGCCACAATTCCTTTATGGCTACTTTTATATATTTTTCATTGGAATTAAGAAGGGTGAGAAATAAGGCAAATAGGTGGTGCAAGGGACCTGTCTAATTGGGTACATTTTGATTGGATGGTTTAGCTAGATCCTTATAATATATCGTTTTGATAAATATAAAGTTGATTGTTTAAAGACTGTATGGTGAGATTGTAATATGTATGGAGCTTAACTAAAACGATGTCATATGAGAACATACCTAAACAATCCATTTGATTAGTATCAAAGCTGCCTGCTGCATAGTTATTGGTAGATCTAAAACAGGTTGTGCAGTCAGATTGTATAGTGTATGGTCAGCTGTATAAGAGTAGAGAGCCCTGATTGGTCTGCTGCAGTTCTAGCAGTACTTGTACGGAGAGCTATGGACAGTAATGTATGTAAATGTACATTGTAATGTAACTGATTGCTCTGTATGCTGCTGTCTGGTTGAGCCTCGGGCACAGGGTACGCTGTGCTTGGTCCACAGTCATCCTAAAAGGTGGAGCTCTATAGACTTGGCATGAATTGCCCTTTGATCCTATAAGGCTGGCAGGTAGCCAGATAGCTGTAATTGCAGATACAGTACATGCTGCATTAGGACTGAAAGGTGTTTTTGCAAAGGGGAATGTTATTCAAAGGAAAGAACTGTACAGCCTGGGTCAGTGCGTAGAAAGAGCTCTCTGTGCAGGACTGGGTGCTCTGTCCAGAGGCCACAACTCCAGCTCCTTCACTCACAAACCAGACTTCAGGAACATTTTCCAGGCTGCTTTTGGGTCATATTGAGCCCGTTTGTAAAGAAAATGTTTATTTTTCCTGCTCAGAGCAGCTGCTTTCAGACAAGCAGACCACTGAGTGTTTAGATTAAGGTGGTCCCTTATTTGATCTCCCCACTCTACTTCTTGTAAATGTCAATAAACCACAGCCCATGTGTAGGAAAGCCTCAAATCCTCACAGACATTCATTCCCAATGAAGGGAAGACTACTTTCTGGATGATGACTCTCGCCTGTAATAGCCTAGGCCCAACACTCCTGCTGTAATGGATGTGGTTGCAATGGGATTACTTTATAACTGCTGTGATTACTATGCCCCTTGGGAAAAAGACTGGATATACAGTGTGGCTTGTTTTTAGTTGGCATGGCCCCTACCATATACAACATATGGAAATAATTGCACCTCATTTCAGACTAATGTTAGCAGCACACACAAAACAAAGGTCTCTTGTTGGCAGTCCATAAGAATAGCTAACGTTCATTTCTATGTAAAGAATATGTCACATTTTTTTTCATTCAATTTACATTTGGGTACATCCAATTTGTTCTCATAACCTTACATTTATGACTATATGCATAACTAAAATATAATATACAGTACAAGGAAACCCTTAAGATGTATGTAAACTCTAGTAATACATTTCTCCTATTTCCCCCTTTTTGGTCTGCTAAATATACCATTGAAAGAATTTTATTATATCTGTTTGACAATTAAAAAAAAATAGCCATTCTTCCAGCCAGAAATTATGTGAGCTCATTATGTCCTGTACTCTCTACCTCTGGACAATTATAGTTACATAGTTACTTTAACAACCCAGAGGTAGAGAGTGCAGGACATAATGAGCTCACAAGATTTCTGGCTGGAGGAATGGCTATTTTTTTTATATCTGTTTGACAAATTCAAAAATAGCCATTCTTTCAGCCAGAAATCATGTAAGCTGATGACGTCCTGTACTCTCTGGAATGTTATAGTTACTTTAACAACCCAGAGGTAGAGCTTACAGGATGTTATCAGCTCACATGATTTCTGGGTGAAAGAATGGCTATTTTTTTAATTTGTCAAACAGATATAAAAAAATAGCCATTCTCCCAGCCAGAAATCATGTAAGCTGATAACGTCTTGTACTCTCTGGAATCTTCCCCCTAACCCTTAACCAGTGGTTATGGAGATCTGCAGTATGGGGGTGTATCAGAATCTAGAAGCCCTCTTAAAAATAAGAAGGCCCCTAATACTGCCTTCCCCATTTTTATTAATGTTTTTATGGGGTTTTCTTAAAATCCATACCAGATGTGTTTGGCTCATCACCTTTAAGTAGAAGTAATGAGGTCAATTATGGAAATAAATATAGCTGGACAGTGTAGCCTGTATCAGGGTATCTTTGTAGTAGTAGACTGGAATTGTGGTAGTACTGAACTACATATAATTTACTAATGTTAACGTTCTTGATAGTGGTCTCCTTTAAATTGGAGAGAAAAAAGACAATACTACTTAATCTCTATACCTGTCCACAAATTATAATTGTTTGATTTAACAAAATCAGCTCACATGATTTCTGGCTGGGAGAATGGCTATTTTTTTTATATCTGTTTGACAAATTAAAAAATTAGCCATTCTTTCACCCAGAAATTATGGGAGCTGATAACATCCTGTAATCTCTACCTCTGGGTTGGTTAAAGTAACTATAACAGTCCAGAGGTATTGAGTACAGGACGTTATCAGCTCACATGATTTCTGGCTGGGAGAATGGTTATTTTTTTTATATCTGTTTGACAAATTCAAAAATAGCCATTCTTCCAGCCAGAAATTATGTAAGCTGATAAAGTCCTGTACTCTCTACCTCTGGAATGTTATAGTTACTTTAACAACCCAGCCAGAAATCTTGTGAGCTGATAACATCTGTAAGCTCTACCTCTGGGTTGTTAAAGTAACTATAACATTCCAGAGAGTACAGGACGTTATCAGCTTACATGATTTCTGGCTGGGAGAATGGCTATTTTTTTTATATCTGTTTGACAAATTAAAAAATTAGCCATTCTTTCACCCAGAAATTATGGGAGCTGATAACATCCTGTAAGCTCTACCTCTGGGTTGTTAAAGTAAC